TTGTGCTCATGAATTTTCCAGTCATAGAATTATCGGAAAATTATCGTTTATTGTCAAAAGCCACAAAGTACGTAACAATAACCGAAAATAAGACGCCTTCGCAAACGTATCGTAATCGTTAGGAACTCCTTTTTACGCAGCCGTAATTGAATTCTATAGCTGCCTCCTTGTGTTTGTATAGGGGGGTATACATCGCATTTATCAATTTGACGAGAAGCCACACGGTTTGTATATCTATACAAAGAGCCTCCCAGGATGAGTTTTCAATAGGAAATTACTTTAGTCCAAAGAGAAGAGGAATAAGAAAAAGTGGATTAATCGTCAACTTCGTCAAGCCATACAAACAAAAATCCCGCAGACGATCTTCAAAGTGGCCGACCCACGCAGCACAGTGAACTCAGTAAAGCATCACGATCTCTGCGTTGATCAATCCCTGACCGCCATGCATTCTACTTCATTAAGTTTCGTTAAAGGTAATTTAATGCATATCTGGCGTATTGATGTGTCCAGTCAGTGTAGCTATCCTCCTAGACAAGCGTGGTACCAATTTGTGGGCCCCACAGGGACGGAAGGCTTGTTGAGCCTGGGGAGCTGAATCGACCCCATGTGTACTGCAGGTGCCTCCGACCACTGCGCTTCACGCGCCATGAACTCAGTAAATAAGCTACATTAGGTTTAAAGACGACGCTGCAATTATTGCCATAAAGTAACGAGAAGATATTCCTAGCTCCCCACCTGTCCTGTACAGCAACTAACAAGGCTATATGAGCAGCTATGGAGAGATCGAGTATGAGCTTGGACAGTACAATACCAGTTCAACATCGGAATTCAAAAGTCAGTGTACTTTTACATGCGTTAGTACGCACAATAGCCAGTGAAAAGTGGTCAATTTAGAATTCGTACAGAATGGCAAAGCACTTAATTAAAACGTTGTACGTTAAACAAGCAGCCCATGTCCTAATCCTACAGTTATAGAAGTCTGTTGGGATTATCTTTTTTCCTAACACTCTTTTACTAAGGAGAAGCTCTTGACAACATCAAAAGAACGCGCTCCTTCCTTTGACAGATCGCCAACTAAAGAATTAACTCATCCTACATGAGAACCACAACCAGGAAATGAAGAAGCAACTGTTTTATTTTTCCCAGGATCGAATTTCTCTTAACCTCGGCATTGGAATATAAATGTGTCGTTTTCTTGTTCAGCAATCGCGAGGTTTTTAAACAGCATACATTTACTTCCATAGAAAAACAATACAATACAACGCTAGCTGACGTTTCGGCAGTATCGCCTTCAGCTGTTGATAGTGTAATTACCATAGAGTTTTTGTCTTTTTGTAAGGGTTCTTGAAGCGTTTGGCCTAGTAGATTGTATATCAGTATACCCTTTCAGGCTCTGAAAAAGGCGATACTGCCGAAACGTCAGCTAGCGTTGTATTGCATTGTGTCTTTTTATGCAAGTAAATGTTTTATTTTTTTTATTTTTTTGTTTGCTTTTTTATTGTGCTCAGATCCATTCGGTTGACAGGTGATTGCTAATAGTAATTCCCATGACCGACTTTCTGTTAACCTCGGCATTAATTGATAATTCAATGTTTTTCATCAATAAGCAGACACGAGGTTGTTAATATAGAATTTATTAGAACACAATTGCTGACGTTTCGGCGGTTTCGCCTTCTTCAGAGCCTGGAAAGGTCAAATTGAGATGCGATCTACTCAGCCAAACACTTTCACACACAAAACACACGCTGTGGTTGTATTTCGCTTAGTAACCTGCCATGAAAATCAACAAAACGTTAAACATTGTGATTTCAACTGCAGCCATAGCTTAACTGGGTTCTATGCCGATTTGCGCTCCCCAGATCAATCCCGCTGACGGGTGATTGCTGCGGCAAAGATCGATAGAAATAGCTGAGAGACAAGCGAACCGAAGAAGCCGCATGGTGTGGTGGTGAACGCATTACTCCCCGGAAAGGACAACAGCGCGTTCGTTCCCCACCATAGACACCTGCGGTCCAGAGTTTTGCAAATATCTCAATAATGTTGTGGTGGTCTCAGAATTCAAATAAGTAGGTATAGAGAGTGTTCTCTATCTCATAGAAAATATTCTCCATCTATTCAGACCAGATGCAATTTTCCCAACTTGTACTGGTTACAGAATATTTCTCAATCAAATATACGTTTTAAACACTCACTGATAGCTCTATGTATTTGTCTAATACAAAGAAAGTTAATTGCCTAACATCGAGGTGGAAACTGTGAAGACAGCAATGTGTAAGATCAACGTGATAATAACGAACAGTTACAAGCAGGTACAAGCAACGAATCCAACATTGTGTGGCACTTAGTTCAAAAGAGTAATTTCGCTTCGAGCATTCTTACTCAGAATCTGACGTTGTGGTTTCATCTGAAGACTATAGCGTGCAGTACTGTTGCAATATCTTAACAACTCAATTTCTTTTCCCCACTCTCACAAACATCTTCTCGAACGTTAAATAGTAACACAATAGTACAGAACCTTCAATTAGTAGCCAACACAATAGATCAACAGGCCAGAGTCCACAGATACGCAGGAACGACTAGTCAAGTAAGTCAGCCAAGTAATGGTCGCCATGTTACTCTATCTCATATTGAACAACTGAAACGCTGCAAATTTTGGTGGCCATTACAGTATTTGTTGTATCATCTGCTGCTACTATTGAAGAATTTTCTAGAAGTGCCCTGCAATGCGCACATTTCCGATTCCCTCCTAAGAAAGTCCACCAAGCCTTCCATCCTCTGGAACCAGCAAATTGGTGCGAAACATGTCTTTGAAGATAGCAGTACTAACTCGATACATCAGTATGCTATCGTAAGTCACTGTATAGGCCAGACATGCATTCACGCATCACTAACCGATGTTTGGCGAAGTCGAATGCATGGCGCATCCCTCAGGGATTGATCCACACCAAAACCTTTGTTTTTGTTGTTGTTATCCATTATGAACCGTCCTCATATCTACCGTGCCGATCCCAGCAATCCTCGCATTCGATTCGTTTTCCTGGTAACCAACGTCCATAATGGTCTTCAAACATTTCGAGTATTATTTCAGCTCCTGCTTGAGGATTTTGACAACTTGATGAATGTTGTAGAAGGTTGATCCAGTGGATTTCCTCGCAGTCTTGGAGATCTTCGAACTAAGGCGTTCCAACATGGATTGGAAGACGGCATTGTGCAGGAGGTCCAACCAGCACCTTACTTCCTGAAAGACTGCATCACCATCCACTGAGCGACTCATTCCTCATAAAGGGATTATACCGTCAAATATAGGTTTGTGTCAATTTTAATTCCATGACATAGGAAATTGCAACCCATCTACTTGTAGATTACTTTCCATTTCTTGCCGGACTAAGGAGCTTAAACACAGCAGAAGCATGTAGACAGGCTATCTCTTAGGTTTAAGGGTGAATATTTTCGAGTTCTACTTAAAAATGGCTTATGTCATTCGAATATTCGAAAGCTCTTGGTGAAATCGCACAAACGGTAAACATTGTTCAGTCTGAACTGAGAATGGTTTTGTTCCTTCATAACGACTCGGTATCAACTGAACCAATGATTCATTCGAAATTCGACCACAAAATAGTACTGCATGATTTCATGAAGGAACGTGTGTAGCGCAGTGGTCGAAGGGACACTGCAACACACACATGGAGTTCATCCCCGTTTCCATGGCCCACAAAGCCTTCCATCCCTCCGGGGTCGGCAAATTGGTACTAGACCTGTCTGGGAGGATAGCAACATTGGCTCGATACATCGCTTGGCCCCCGCCAGTCATTGTAAAGGCCAAATATGCGTTCAGTCACCTCCAAACGATACTTAATGAAATCGAGTGCATGGCGCATCCCTGAGGGATTGATTAACGCCGAGAGCCTTATCCTTTTATCCTTCTACATGTCCCTAACGTTCTTGGCTTTCCCACTACTCCACTAGCCACTTGTGTCGAAATATCAGCTTCATAGCAAATGTGCTAACTTTCTGAGCCACATTTAAGCCGATTGGCCTTCCAGAATTTTGGATCGATGTTTCCTATTGACGATGACTCGCCAGATTGTTGCTGGCTTAGTGTTTGTAAACGTTTGTCATTGTTTTTTGACTCCTTGACGATTGAAGTAGTGGCCGAGAGCTCTATCTTTTATTTCCATATGAATTTATGTAACAATCCCGGTAGGATTATTTCTAAATGAGACGGGTCAGAATAACTCTGTTGAGGTTTCTGGAGGTATTCTGATGTTATTTGTTTTCCTCTTCCCTTCATTCTTCGATGATAGAAGCTGTCTTCATGTGGTTGGAACAGCATCTTGCTCTCGATGTTTTTTTGTTTCTTACGACGCTCTTCATACTGGTTAAGACAAACTGGTCCCATTCATCTTATCAGTTTCTCCGAACTCCGAGACCATTTTCACGATGTTTAGCCGTAGTGCCCCCTCACGTATCATCGTTGTTAAGGGATAGTTGATAAAAACAAAGCAACCACACACTTCTTTGCATCCCCTAATGGCCTCTGTGTACTCAAAACCCTATGCAGTATGATGGGATTTCCCATAACTCTTACTTCGTACGACGGCGGAAAGTCGACCGACGAAGCCCCGCCGGCTACTCAGATACACATCAGCTCGCGAGCGTACGCGGCGCGGTCCTTGGACCCGTCCGTCTCTCATTGACGTGCAGCCCACACCTGCACGATGAGGAGTGCTTGTGGTTATGCACAACACATCCATATCGTCGGGATTCTCCCATATCACCCTAAGCACATCCCAATTAGTCTACTGTGTTTATCAGTTTGGTCTAGGCGCACTTTCTTTTCTCGCCTAGTTCGTCTGTCGTCTGTCCGCTTTCATTAATTAATTTCTGAAAGCTGTTCTGTCGTCAGTGTCGTTCCGATACCATTTGTTTATGTAATATGTCATCCTCTTCAAGCGCAGTAGCCGCTTCTGGATCTTTTCGAGAAGTTTTGTTTTTCAGCGATGAATCAGTTTCGTGCCGGAGGATCTCAACGGGAGATGTTTGCTGCAGCCGAGGATTTAGCGGATGACGTTAGTCCGATCGAATTTTACTCCTATCCATTTGATTTTTCATTCTATTCCTTATCTTTTCACTAGGCTATTCTGTTATTATTCTTTACTTAGAGTGCTGAAATACGCGCTCAATATTGTGTAGACTAGGTGAAGTCATCTTTCCAACAGTTCCTTTCATTTAGGCTTACCTACCTAGTCCTTAAACTCCTTGTATGATTTGACTTATTTTCTTTGATTTCCTTACTGACCGATTGTTTTCATTGAAGGTATTGCGGCATACCAGGCATATCCTTCCACATGTTGCTCGTCTTTGCCTGGTTTCCACATTTCTTGAGGACGGCATTCGAATGTGGTTTCAATGGGACGATCAACAACAGTTTATGCAGGTTTCAACCTCATTATGCTATATTGCGTTAAAGGACAACGCGCTCCAGTTCGGAGCTTTGGATCCCTTCTTTCACTTGCTTGATACGGGATAAAGGATAAAAGGATAATGCTCTCGGCGTTCATCAATCCCTGAAGGATGCGACATGTATTCGCCTTCATCAAGTATCGTTAGAGGTGATTAAATGCATATATAGCCTTTACAATGACTCGCGATGGCCTGCCGATGTACCGAGCCAGTGCTGCTATCCTTTCAGACAAGCAGACAGGTCTCGTACTCATTTGCCGACGTGGGAGGGTTGGAAGGCCTGGTGAGCCTCGAGCGCGTGGGTCGATCCCATGGGTATTGCAAGACGCCTTGACCACTGCGCTACATGCACCTTTATTCCGTTAATCTTTGTTTAATGGTCGGGTAGCAATTTTACATTTTTGCGAAAAACTATGTGAAGGTCACAGCAAGTAGGATGAACTTCCCACATTGTTCGAGATCGATGACAATGTCCAACGTGAACACTCATTGTTTTAATATAATTGATGCGATTTGGGGCTTTCCAGTCCATCTATACGCTTTATACTCTAACATTGCCTAAGGGCCTCGTTAGGCGCAGTGGTCTGACACGCCTTGCAATACACATAGGATCTGTCCCCGCGCCGAAGGCCCACCAAGCCTTCCATCACTCCGGGTTCTGCAAATTGGTACCAGACTTGTCTGGAAGGATAGCAGCACTGGCTCAGTACAATGGCAGGCCACCGCGAGTCATTGTATGGGCCAGATATGCCTTCAATCGCCTCCAACGATGCTTAATAAAGTCGGATGCTTGGTGTATCCGTCAGAGATTGATCTACGCCGAGTGCTTTTTTAACGGTCCATAAAAGTTAATTTCAATAGAATTTTTTCAGTTCGGGGAACACCGTTTTCAATTTCAGGATTCGTGGTCGTGCGGATGGTTTCTCGCTACTTGTTTTGTCATCTACAACTTCTTTGGACAATTTGTACCAGTTGTTATGATTATGCTACGGAAAAAGGCACGTACAAAACAAAGAAAAAGCGATTTGCAGTGTTATATCGACTATACTGTAGTATTGATATTTTCAGGTTATGGTTGCATGTGGTATCCTTGGGTCAATCGTTTTTCTCCAAACGGTCGCCTATCATATTTTATGGGATTTGAAGTTCCTTGCAAGGTTTGCTTCGTTTCCTTCTATGAATTTTTTTATTATTAGTTTAATTCTATAACATGTTAGTTTGGACATCTATTTGGTCATTTGTTTATTTCTATATTTTGCTCGCGGGTTTTTTTTCTAGCACCCAAGTGAGGTCACCAGGTTTTTCGTTGATATTTGTATCCTTCTGCGGACGTTGCAGTTCCGTGCTATGTTCAACAGTGCACGCTTGCTTTTTTTGACATAATATCAGTCACATCGCAGCTCGACATCTAGGAACACCTTCCAACGGTTTACCGCCTCATATATGGGAGGTGTTTCTGGGTGCAGGGCTGCGATTGCAGAGGGGGAATCATCTTTCCGGCAATGTCTCCCAGACTGAGAAGGAGTCCGGGTTTTCCAACGAGAAGCCTAGCTAGGAGTAAACCATTACCAGTATCCACTACCGTCCTGGTACCAAACAAGTCGCATGGTGGCAAATTTCCGTCTAATCCAGACGGGCTGCGACTGCCTGTGGTGGCGGCGACTTGGAGCAGACTTTGACCTAGCTGACCTAGGGTCTCCAGGAAACCACAGTGACCAGTCCAGCAAAACTCCGAATCAATGGAAATTATTCTAGGGCCCTCACAACCAGTGAAGTCGGGCCATCCAAGTAAGTACTATCAGTTGCAGAACCCTCTTTTGTTATTTAATTCCTTATCTTTATTAGAAAAGGTATTTGGTTTTCGTTTTTCTTTCTGTGGTACACGTGAGTAACCTAATTGGAACTCTTCTTTATTAGTAATTCTTTAGCACTTGTTCGCTATTTCAAGGGCAGAAGTTCTGGTTGTAGTAACTAAATTGGATGATTTTTGGCCCTTTTTTTCGTAATGCTGCATGTTGCGCACTAGTAATTTCTTCAATCGCTGTGGTAGATGAGACCTCTTCTATCATTCATAAAGGAGAAAGGCTGAAGCTCTCGGCGTTGATCAATCTCTGAGACTACGCCATGCATTCGACCTCACTGAGCATCGTTTGGAGGTGATCGAATGCATGTCTGGCCTTTACATTCACTTGTGTTTGCCTACCGATGTACCAAATCAGTGCTGCTATTTGCCCAGACGAGTCTGGTACCAATCTGATAATCCTGGAGGGATGGAAGACTTGGTGAGCCATGACTGCGGGAAACGATCCCAGGTGTATTGCGGGACTCCCTCGATCACTGCGTCACACGTGCCTCGACCATTCATACCCTTGTTAAAGTGACATCTGCTTGAACTAATTATAGTATGGTGATTATGGTTGGATTACTCATTCAATGGAATTAAAGGACCAGACATTCCCGAATTTGCAACATTTTACTTGTTTATTTTTAGGAATGTTGCCGTTGGCGGTGGACTCGTGCTGTTGATGGCAGAGACTCAAGAAGAAAAAGCCTCTTTGTTTGCCGGAGTGCCTACTATGGGTGATTCGAATAAACCTAAGTCATACATGTTGCTTGCCGGTCGTATTTTGCTGATATTCATGTTGACCTCATTACTTCATTTCAAAATGAGTTTCCTACAGGTATGCGGGTGTAATTCATATTTACTTGAGTCCATCTTGTGGATGAAGTTCGTTTTCATGTTTCTAAGTACAATATGTGTAATAACATAACTTATTTTTTAGATGATTGAAATCATAGTCGGATTTATGTTGATTTTGTTAGTTTGTGTCGGATATAAGACCAAGCTTTCTGCAATGGTCCTTGTTGTATGGCTTTTTGGTCTCAACTTATGGCTAAACGCTTGGTACGTTGTTTCGGCCGTAATTTCTAGAACATTAAGTATGAATATTATGAATGTGTCCTTTTCTTGTTCAGCAATCGCGATACTGCCGAAACGTCAGCTAGCGTTGTATTGTATTGTGTTTTTCTATGGAAGTAAATGTATGCTGTTTAAAAATGTCGCGATTGCTGAACAAGAAAACGAAACATTCATATTCCAATGCCGAGGTTAATAGAAGGTCGATCCTGGGAATTATGAATATTATGTTAAGTGGTTTAAGGTGGACAGTGCCATCTGAACGTTTTTATCGCGACTTCATGAAATACGACTTTTTCCAAACCATGTCTGTAATCGGAGGTGTGTGCACTGTTCAGCAGCGTTTTTCTTTTTAGTGAGGTCCTCCTATTTCCTTTTCAGTGTTCTCCATCGCTTTTAGGTCTACTGCTTGTTATTGCATACGGACCTGGTGGCGTCTCCGTTGATGATTACAAGAAGCGGTGGTGAAATAACAGCCTTAACAGTATTGGCATGTCAGGCAACTAAGTAATGAAACAAGTAGTGGAATTCTTAAGTGAAGTCTTTTATTACCTTCCTCTGTCGTTGATTTTTCTAGTAAACGTTGGTGTATGTATTTTTAGCGATGTCTCAGTTTATATCTGAAATCTTTGTTGCGTTTGGGTCCACTCTATGTTTGATTATTTGTCTTTGTTAGAAATGTGAAATAAATGTTTGTTTTATCACACCAGTGTTCCTAGATTTCGCCAAGTCTTTTGATCTGCAGCTATGACACAGCATGTACACATTGTCATGCCAGCAGTCATGCAGTATATCTCGTGACATCTGAGCACAGAAACTGATGTCCAATCAGAATTTTTGCTTGTGCTATTGCTTTACGAAACAAAACCGATCTTAAGCTTGAATAGATTTTTTATCAATACGGATATGTGAAGGACACGGTTGTATAAGTATTTGGCTTCGACTTTATAGTTTTAAGTCAACATCCATAGCAAAACACCAATATAATTTCAGGCTAAGAAATGCATCATTGCACACGCACAATAATTAGCAGTTATGCAAAATAGGATAGAAATCTGACAGGAAGGAGAGGATTTTCCACTTTCCTCACATGTTCACATCTATGAAAGGCACTGTCTATGCACCTACTTCGGAAAGGAAATCGAGTTGAACAGAGCAAGCGTGCGACACTGGCTCACATTCGTAGAACGATGGTATTCCACCGCGGTAGTTATTCTGTGTCGTGTTCATCTTACTTTTAATACAAGAGTTAAATGAAAGTAATATACCTTTACATAATTCTTTACAGCATCAACGTTGTCCTTCCGAACAAGTGACACTGTACAACCGCCGAAACCACCACCAGTCATTCTTGAGCCAAAAACACCATCACATGATAGAACTAGAGACACTAACTCATCTAGTTCTGGACAAGACACGCGATATTTTTCTCTGAAAAAGGAAAGCGGAGTCTTAAAAATAGCTCGGGAAGCAACTGTGAATGCTGGCTAGTCCGAATTTCTATTTGTGCTTTTATTACGCGACGGCATCTCATTACCTTCCAACGGTTTACCGGCTCATCGTGGCTAGGAGGTGTTCCTCGGTGTCGGGCTGAGATGTACAGCTGGGGGATTCATCCTCCTGGCAAGGTTCCTCAAACTGAGGAGTCCGGCGTTTCTATCAGGAAACCCAGCTAAGAGCAAACCAGTACTAGGATCCACCACCGTCCTAGTACAAAACTAGTCGCATGGTAGCAAATCTCCCTCTGATCCACAAGGGCGGCAGTGGCTGGGATGGTGACGCCTTGGGGCAGACTTTAGCCAGGCTGACCTCGGGACTCCAAGGAACCACAATAGCTAAACCAGAGAATCTCTGATAAGTGGACGTTGTGCTGGAGCCTGTACAGCCGGTGAGGATGGGCCATCCAAGTATCCAAGTAGGTATTAAGCGACGGTAAAGTGCGACTATTCATCCTGCTCTGTGCAGTTACAAGAAATAGTTTCGTCTCTTTAAAACTAATTAGTCTGGTCATTATATATGCCATTCATACTTAGTTAGCTATTCACTGACTTGAGCGAATGATGGCTCTCACACATAAACCGTCCGAAACGGGTGATGTCATTATCAAGAAGTGCTTCACTAGCCTTCACTGTTCGTTCGATCTCATCAACCTCAAACCATGGATGATAAGTTGCAAATAATCAGCTGTGTTAAATTAAACAAACATCACTTACAACGTGAAAAGCACAGTCAAGCGTCAAAATATCAAGAACTGAAGATTTTTCTTGCAGTAACTGATAGGTTACATCACGCCAGGAAGTAACACCCAACCTAAAATAGCTGTATATATGTATGTATAGGTATCTATATGTATATATACATATATAATGTATGTATAATGAAAGTACTGGAGAATTAATGATGTGCTTGAACACATACAAAAGGACCTTACATGCTTAATGCTTTTTCGACCGTTTTCCGTCGCTTTGCGTATTCACCACCAGAATGAGTGTGGTGAACTCCACTGTTAATAATGAGAAATAATGCATCGTGTGATATGCTCATTGGTATTAAATCAAACGTTAGTGACCTAAACGTCGTTAAATAGGTGATCACACAAACATGAGATACGTGATGATGCCACATTTATCAGTCCTTAAAAATTCGTCATACGTTTCCAACAAATAAGGAACAGTCATGTTAACACAACCACAACGATGCTGAGATATTCCCAAAACTTGGAACCCGGGTCGGATCGAACCACGATTAACGTTTCTGGAGGGCTCGCGTATTACACACTGCACCACGGAGGCCCATGCTTTGCGTTTCTCTCAGTTAGTTTTCTTTTATAATTTTTCTAGTTTTTAGTCTTCTCGGTTATGTTAATGTTCATTCTCGAGGATGAAACGTGCCAAAACTTTAATAACCTGCAGTCAATTCGAAGAGCATGTGCATATTCGGCAAACGAAATCACGAACTGATCCATGATTCCACATGGTACATTCAGAAATTCGTGCTCAACACGTTGACATAACTCTGCACTTTTCACTCCGCTAGGTAACGGATCTAAAGGTACCATGTATCAACGAAAAACAATAAGAAACTAAGAAGATGGAACGAACACTTACCACTGTAAAACTGGGAAACGAAGCAGTAGAAAGAGAGCTCAAGGGCAGCTGAACTGCTGAGTCCGCTTCCCATTGGTATTGATGAATGGACCACAATATCAAAGCATAAATTACATCTTGTTAGAGCGAGAACGCCTTGAATGTACCGCCCCCACCGAACATCCTAAAAAAATGAAATTATAAATGAAGATAAATGACACCTTACTTTTTATTTTCTGCCTATCACAATTTTTATGGCATGGTGTCAAGCAATGCAACCACAACGATGCTGAGATATTTGTAATACTCCGGACCGTAGGTGTTTGCGATGGGGAGCGAACGAGCTGTGACCCTTTCCGGGGACTAACGCGTTCACCACCACAACAATGAACCCAGTTAAGCTGAGGTTGTAGTCAAAATCATTCAATTTGGTTTGGGTTCTCCAGATCAATCTCGTTGACGGGTGATTGCTGATGGCACTAATCAATAGAACTAGCTGAGAGACAGGCGAAACGAAGAACCCGCATGGTGTGGTGGTGAACGCGTTAGCCCCGGAAAGGGTAGCACGTTCGTTTCCCACCGTAGGTACCAGCGGTCCGAAGTTTTGCAAATATCTCAGCAACGATGTGGAAGATAAATGAGTTGTCTTTGAAGAAAATGACCTCGTTTTTTTTCTGCTCGTAGGGTTGAACTACAGTGATTGGATCTTCAAAATATGAAGAAAAGACGTTCGTGAAGCCTCGACACTGATCATTTGCAGGTCGACCGACCACGGCTGTGTATAGAGGAATGGCCTAAAGGCCAAATAAAAAACAGAGTAAGAAAGGAACACCAATATTTCCCATATTAGCTAGCACTAGCCTTATCTTGCATACAAACCAGCTTATCTTCGCTCTGGAGAGTTGTTACACAGAAGAACAGCTTAAATTATGAATAAAACAGAAAGACTACCAATACTAAAGCACTGGCGAGAAAAAGAGGGAAGAACCTGTGACAGCATCCACGTTATCTAAAAGCGGATTCGCAAAATCACAATAAATCTGATAAACCATCATGAACGAGGATGAAGTAAATAGGATGAAGAGGATGCTTCAACATATGAGAAAGAACGAACAGAACCGAATCGTATTTTCAAAACGACACTTGTATTACTACTCATAACATTACTTTTGAGACTTTAGAGAAATTAATAACATTAGAAATAAAAATCTTATACATATCAATAGACTGCTCACCTACCATTGGAAGAACGAAGCCATCACAGTAATCTACGTGATCCCCGATCAGATTTACTCGACCTGGTGCGATTGCAGCTTTCAAATCCTGGAATACTGGACGAAAATACGAATGACTAGAAATTGATTTACTCGAAAAATATGGATATTAGACAATCTACAATAACTTCATAACAACAATTTCTCCCAATAGCACCACTACGGGCTAGAATAAGGAAGAAAGCATGAAGCTCTCAGCGTTGACCAATCCCGAAGGGACGCGCAATGCATTCTACTCCATTCGTAGCGTCGTTAGAGGTGACTGAACGCATATCTGACCTTTGTAATTACTCGCCATGGACTACCGATGTATCGACCCAGTGCTGCCACCTCTAACGTTCCAGACAAGTCCGGTACCACTCTGCCGACCCCGGGGGATGGGCCGGGCTTGGTGGGCCCCGAGCACGGAGATCTATCCCACGCGTATTGCAGGGCGCTTCCGAACACTGCGCTACACACGCCCCTTAGCAAAAGATATTTCGTTAGAAATTGAAATACAGGACAAGTATCGCCCGCTAATCGCGAATCAAGTACTATCCTCACCAAAGGAACGGTAAGAAAGATAGAGTTTCTCTAGAACTCCAATCAACAAGTAAACGATAGTTAAATTAAGTTACATTAATAGAACTTGGCCCGAAATGTGTCAGAAACAGCTCGTAGGCTTCTCGAACAATCCCATGCTTCAGATTAGCAACATAATCTGGCTCCAATGAACGAATATGTTCGATTTCATGCTGCCGCTCCTCCAATGTTCCTTCTCTGAGTGGGTGATCTGCCATAATCGGCAGATAAATAGACCAATTTTAGGACTGCACGGATATCCTGAAAATTAATTATTTGATGAAAAGGTGAAAAGGAAAACCAAATACGAGACGAATTTACTAGACACAAACTCCATGGATGCGGGTGATAAGTTGCTTACGATACTATCAAACTACAAAGCGCTCGCCGTTCGTTTATCAGTGCCTTGTTTGTTGCCCATGTTCAAATCCAAGATTGTCATGTTGATGGTTATCCATGCTTTCGAAACTCGGGAAGGTTCATCCTGTTCCAGTTCTGTCCGGAATCGCTAGCATTCTCTGTAAATCAAAGTAAGTAACTGCATTTAAACATTTAAGTGATGTTTATTGCGTTTCCTAGCGCTATGTGTGCGTGTTTGACATAAGTCATCCAGAGCTCCCATAAGCATAACTACTTCCGTGCGCCCAGTCTAGCACGTAGTTGTTATGACGCTAGTAAGACATTCTACAGGAGCGCATGTGGTGCAGTGGTCGGAGGCGTCCGGCAGTGTACATATTGGATCGATCCCAGCGCCAAAGGCGCAATAGACTCTGCATCTCTCCAGGGTCGGCATATTGGTACCAGACTTGTCCAGGACGATATCAGCACTGGCTCGACACATCGGTAGGCCACCGCGAGTCATATTAAAGGCCAGATATGCATCCAATTACCTCCAGACGGCGCTTAATGAAGTTGAATGCATGGCGCATCCCTCAGGGATTGATCAACGCCGAGAGCTTTATTCTTTATCCGTTAAGACATTCCACGCACCAACAATTTTCGTGACACCACTACTAAATCATTCAGAAATTGCGCCTAGCCATATAGTCTCATTGGGAAGTATTCTTGCCTTTCCTCTATGCATTAGCTTCTATAGTTTTAGCTCGTGCTGCTTGCTTTTAAGAACATGTTTTTTGTTTGACATAGTTTCTCTTTAACGTTTTTAATTTAGGACTTCAGACCGTGCAACGTCTCTAGATGCATTCAAAAAATTGTGTGAACAGTGTTGATGGCATGTCTTTGAGGAATTGTGGAAACGTGGAGGACGGGAGCAGTGAAAGTCAGTTTTCATTTCTTGCAGCTCAGTTCCATTTGTGAAATTTCCATTCTCCGGAAACTTGCTGGTTTATCCATCGTGGTTTCCTAGTGTCCCAATAATAGCCTGGCCAAACTCTGCCCTAGGTCACCACCATAGGCAATCGCCGCTCTTGTGGATCAGAGGGAGATTTGCCACAATGCGACTAGTTTGATACCAGGAGGTTGGTGGATCCTGGAATTGGTTTATCCTTACTTGGGCTTCCCGTTGGAAGCGCCGGACTCCTCAGCATGGGAGACCGTGCTGCGGTGATGAATCCACCTGCCGTACATCGCAGCCCGATATCCAGGAACACCTCCCACCTACTATGAGGCGGTAAACCGTTGGAAGGTTTGTTCTGGTAGAATATTAGGTTTGCAAGCCAATATTTAAAATGAGGGACAATAGACACATTCCCACCTCCGTCATTGATATTTTCATCTTTCCCAGTTAAATAGTAGCAGGATTTGTTGCCGTTTTGGAGTAGTTTGAGTCACTTGCATCACCTGTAGTCCCGTCGATCGTCGACTGACTCGAGCAGGCGCCAGTAAATTTTCCGTTTCTCACTGTGGAATGAAAGAATTACCCAGTGGGTTCTGTTCGTTCCAGGAATTCGTTGAACATCAAACTTTTCTTCTAGGATTTTCGTGAGAAACTCTGAGACCACCGAATCGGTGGTCTTCCTGCAGTACGTTTGACATTCCGAGGAATCCAGGCACTAACGACTCTCGTCCATTGGTTGTCGTTCATACGCATTACGTGTCCGGCCCACCTTATCTTTGACAGTTTTACGCACAGAACGGCATCCTTAATTTTTGATCGTTGACGCAGGTCGGAGTTTCAGATCCTTCCCCTTACTAGTGCGATACGAGATGATACCAGCATCGTCGTTTCGACTGCACGCCCAATTACGCTGAGTGATCTTTCATCCTGCTTACGCAGTGACCATGTTTCCGACGCATACGTTAAGACAGGAAGAATCGTGGCGTCGAAAAGGTGGACACGGACTTGGGTGTTCACTGTTCTCTTGAGTACATCCGCAATGCCTTTGAAAGCTCCCCAAGCCGCTTTTTTCCTCCTGTTCAACTTCAGAGCTAAGTCGTTTATCGTGGTAATATCCCAACCTACATAGACGTAACTGGAACACTTGGAGATATTCAATCCGTTGAGCGTTAATGGGGCATACGAAACCAAACCGCTCACGAACGTCGCTTTGTGTGTTTTACTCGTAGGCATGTCTTTCCATAGGCGTTATCAAAGGCGTCGCGTATTCGTTTTTTCTGGCTTATGCTTGGTGTTGTATCAACGATGTCATCAGTAAAGCGAAGATGGTATAATGGCGACCATCGATTGTCACTTCCATGTTGTTCCACTTCAGTGTTCGCATTACGTTCCCGAGGGATGCGGTGAGTAGTTTTGGCAAGTTGAAATTGGTTTTCAACCCCTCTTCTAACGTCAACGTTAATATCGTTGTAGAGTGGTGACATCAAGGCTGTTCTATTTTTGTACAGCTCACGAAAATATTTATATACCGAATAGGGACTCGCCGACTCTCCAGGACTTCCATGATTGCTTCTACCTTAACTGAGTCAAAGGCCTTATTTAAATCGATGAAAGTGAGGCAGAACGGTCTTTTTTACTCTCGAGATACTTCAATGAGCCATGTTACCGTGTGGATGCGGTCCATCGTACTAAATCCTCTTCGAAACCCTGATTGCTCACATGGCTGCCCTTCGTCCAGTGTTCTGTTAATCCTGTTTCGGATGACTCGAGTGAAAAGTTCGTAGACGAGAGACAGTAAGCAGATTGGGCGAAAGTTGTCGATATCGTGGAGGTCACCCTTTTTGAACATTAGCGCGGTCTTGCTGGATTTCCATTGAGTAGTGACCTTCCACCTAGACAGGTAGCGTGTGAAGAGCCGAGCAAGTTGCTTATGAGAACTGATGGAAGGTTCTTCAGGTGTTCAAATGTTATCCTGTCCGGACCTGGTGTTCGATTTTTCACCGACGAAGTAGCACGTCGGATTTCGGAATGGAGGACCACTGGTGCGACATATCCATCCCCTTTCCTTCATATGGGCAGGACGACGTGGCTGCTGAAGAGGTCTGAGTAGTAATCATGAATGGTTTTCTCCATGAGCTTCAAGTGTTCCGCCTTGACATCGGAGTGCAATCGTTATGATGTTTTAGTCGGCGAGGCGTCGATGGGCTTTGGGACTGTTTTTCTCGGACCCGGTGGGTTCGACTATCACTGCTGATTTTCACTTTTTAAGACCTTTTATCGCCTGTGTGCATTGTTTGGCAAGTTTGTGCGTGAATTGGTGGTTGCTTGAATCTCGTGCGGTTCCACGTTAGCGTGTCTGCTCGAATGTTTCTGGAGACAGACGTCTCTTGATGATTTTTGAACTCCCAGCTTTCATAACGCTAACGTGAAGACGTTGAATGAGCCGATCGGATTCCTCGTCGATATTTTCGAGAATGGCATCTTCCCAACAGGCGACTAATGAATTGAATAAATATCAGTTCATGGTGGTATTGGGAGTTCGTCTTTTGAATTTAGCGGCTTCTTTTAGTGCTGATGATCTCAGCCGATTTAGATCGCTTGGACTACAGTGACATCGGTTAGGAAAAATATTCGATTTACAATAAGGTGGTCTATTTTGTAATGGTACTTTCCATTGGGAGGCTTCCACGCCCATCACTGATTGTGGCGCTTTCGGATTTGCGAGTTATCATGGATGGTCTTGACCGTCATGACAAGCTTGGACAGCCGCCCACCCACCCACCTTGTTGCATTCTAGTCCGTGGGTCCCAGTGTGACGTTCTTCGGACGTTTTTCTTGGTCCCGTATTAGCGTTAAAATCTCCAATGATGGCCAAGATGAATGTGTGGCCTTCTCTCTAGAACTTTTTGAAGTCCATTACTAGGTGTTAATTGTTCGAATGGATGTTGATGGCCATACTTGTGTTGACGAGAACGCCCGCGCTGCCGACTTTTCTATTGTCGCATGTTCCCAGGACGGCGCGGAGTAGGTGGCGCCGTCCTGCCTCGACCAATCCGTTAATGTCGTTCTTTATCGTTCTTACTTGCACAACCAAGGCTTCTATCGTGGTCTCAGATGCAAGTGTGCGTGCATTGTAGATGTCACCCTAGTTCTTTGCGATTTAGGCAGCATAGAATGGTATTGGGATTTTGGAAGCCTCTCCGTACTCGTCCTACCCAACGCTGCCGAACCGGGTGCTGTTTCGGGGTCAGGGAAATAGGACACTATTCTTTTACTGTCTTTAGCTTTTTTGCTTAATTGCAGGCTTTTAGCCGAATTCACTCGTAGAATAAAATCTGCATAAGCGAAAACACACCTATGCATGAATGCACTTCGTAAATACAGAAATTATGTCCAAATCGACGCAGCAGAAACAGGAAGTCCATCTTGTGAATCCACATATGCCATGTTACCTTGCGACTAACCGGCTCGAGATCCTTTATATTAGGGAAATTCCTGGAGTGTTAGTGGTGGACACTGAAAAGATCCTCCTTCTTTGTTGTTATTTTTTCTTTGACCTCTGCGTCCATGTCGCCTCTTTTCTTCTCCTTTTAAATTCCTTGTTGTTTGATTCCACTTTTCGCATAATCAGGCAACTTATTCTTTGGACACCAGGTTATTCGTAAAAGCTTTCGGGAAAGACTTCGCAACATAACTTTACTCGCATTATGAAGCCTTGCGTGTGATTCAGCAATGGCACAACTGTAATTCCTGCTATTATCTATTCATTATTACCTTTTTCACACCTGACATGATATTTGGTATTATTTCACACTGTTGGTTTCTTCAACTAAAATACGCATCTTTTTTTAAAATAGATTTTATGTCTTTCGTAATGCTGAGATATTTGCAAAACTCCGGACCGCAGGTGTCTATGGTGGGGAACGAACGCGCTATTATCCCGGGGAGTAACGCGTTCATCACCACACCATGCGGGTCCTTCGTTTCGCCTGTCTGTCAGTTAGTTCTATAGATCACAGCCATCGACAATCATCCGTCAACGGAATTGATCTGGGGAGCTGAAATCGGCGTTGAACCCTGGAAAGGATAATAGCGCGTTCGTTCACCACCGCAGACACCTATGGTGCGGAGTTTTACAAATATCTCAGCATTATGAATGTTATATTTCGCAACCTACTCTGCCATTAAAAAAAATAGACAGTAAATAAAAAGGTTAAGATTTTATGTCGTTTTTTTTAGTGCTGCATGAATCCTTACTTCCCAGGAGTGCTCCCGAACCTTTATCGGAGACACAGGTCTTCGTTTGTTTCTAGGCTAGAAATTTATAGTTTTGCTTTCAGAAATATAGCAGCACATTTTGTTTTAAATGTTTTCATTTTAGGCGGGTGGTTGTAACCAAGATCTTCAAGTCGATCAAACGCTTACCGTTGTTTCTTCCATCGTTCATAGTGATGGTGTCCTAATGCGCAAGGGCAGCTTTTGCCAAAGAAATCAGCGCCCCCACCGTCATGATTTGAATACACCCACTTGGAGTGACGAGGTAAGGTTGAGAGTACCAAGTCTACTGGTTTGAAAATTAAACGTTACGTTATACGGATATTGTTTCCAAATTCTGTTCTAAATTTTTCCAATTTAGTTGGATGGCAACGTTCGAGAGTTAGGAGACAATCAGATGTTTGGAAACATATCTCCCATATTCCATAATGATAGCCCCATGTTCGCGCGAGACAACATTTACGAGGGAAGCGTTCCCTCCTTCCCTCACGATTTGTCGATCGCCAGTTGGAGCGACGAGGTAGGGTTGAGGGTATCAAGTGTACTGATTTAAAAATTAAACGTTACTTTATACGGCTATTTTTTCCAAATTCTGTTCTAAATCTTCCCATTCTAGTCAGATGGCAACACCCAAGACATTGAAGGCGACCAGAGGTTTAGCAGCACATTTGTCACCGGCCCTAATGATAGTGTCGGAATCAACAGGCGGAGCGACTACGGTTCGTCTCACCGTCATGATATGACCATCAGAAATTGGAGCGACCAGGTAAGGTTGAAGGTGTCAAGTGTATTGCTTTTAAAATTGAACGTCGCTTTAGACTGCTATTAGTTCCATCGGTCTGCTGTCTTTTAGTGCATGATAGACGATATAGGTTATAAATGTTTTGCATACATCGGGGGCTTCTGATCGGTATGAGTCGTAAATGATCCATTTTACCTCCTGCTGTTTCGACATATATATGCAGATTTTTGTTGTCTTTTCTTTTTCTCCAATCAACAGCTTTGCCCTTACGGACGCTGTATCACGTGTCGGCCGACAGAAGCCGATTTCTACATTTCAAAATTCAAAAAAATATTTTATTGCTCCAGTACTGGTTTAGAAAGATTGTTTTTGAACGATTTTGTTCGTACAGCCATAGACAGTTTCCATGAAGAGGAGGAAGCTTGGGTTTACGCTGGAGGAGCTATCGGTACAATGCTGCGAGTCCAACGGCGATTAGTTGGCATTTGTTCCGTAGAAGTAAGCCAAACCCTTTATTATAACTAGTGTACTTGGTATCATTGGACCTTGGCCTGTATTAGCCAGATACGACTCACATCGCAATTTGTTAACGATGTTTCTCTAACGTCTACTTACACAAATTAAGCTTTCTAATCGTTCACTGCTTAATATTTCCTGGTTTTCTTGCGATACCTTAACACTGTGTATTCTGCACCTCGTTCTTACGCAGCAGTTACGAAGTTCTATGCCACATGTGTTCGAACTTTCCTTTTTCCTGTATTGCTGCTGCCTAATACTAATATTATTCACTATGACTTAAATACTTTGCTATTTCATGTACTGTTTACAGTTACTATTCCCTCCTTCATACTTATGTGGAAGAATCCTTTTAGGAGAATAGTTCGCAAGGAAGCGAATATTTTGGTCCAGTCCCACCTTCCCCATCTCTAAATGTTTCGGATGATGGTAACAGTGGTTCGGGAAAAGATGTTGGCCCTCTGCCTTTATCTGCTGAAAGAGACTCACTTTGTCAGGTGAAGGCGACACATGAGAGAATGCTAATAAAGAGTAAAGAAGCTAAGGTTCAATACTACTTTCGTTTTTTTTTGCTTAGACTTTGCTAATATTGCTGATCTCTTTCAGAACAAGAAAAAATGTACCGAGTTGATGCTTAAAATGTCGAGGAAAGTGATTAGCAATCGTATGGATGATGGTTGCTTTAGGCGTGTAAATACCTCTGTAGCAGAAATCGAAGAGTTATGGGAAGAAAGGCCTCAAGCCAAAAAATCTCATATGGAGGTGGGTGTTATGCTAAACAAATGTTATTTTGAACACTGGAAGGAAGGAAAGGAAGGAAGCAGTATGCCGTTTAGCTTGACATGATGGCGCTTGTCTTGGTAGCTGCTGCTTTTCCATGGGAAATTTCAGAAAGTTAAATTTCTTTGTGGATTTCATGAACGTTTTAACTTTAAACAAGTTTAATTTGAGAGGATATTGTACGAGGATTATGCAGGCTTGACTTACTACACAAAATTCTCTTCTCTAAACTTCTAAATTTCTGAACTCCTGAAGTACTCTAGTGGTCGAGAGATCGTCGTTAGATATCGAAGAAAGCCCAGCTTCGTCGTGAAAGGCTAGATTTTGCCGTTTCATCACTGACATTTATTTTGAACTACACTGCAATGCCTTTGTTATGTACACAGTTTACAATAATTCTGCGTTGTGTTATGAACACATGTCGGAGCGATCATCTCATTTTCGCAAAGTGTCCCGTATGAAGAATTAGTTGCAGTACTGAAATGTTGCATGATACTCTGTGTGGCGGTATGTTCTGGTGTTGGTGAGCGACTCTGAAATCTCTGAATGTGTCCCCATTTACAAACCTTTTTATTCATACGTCGAAAACGAGTAACGTACGCATTCTGGAGTTCCAATAGGTAAAGCGGTCCGCGCATTGTTCTCGACAACGAATGTGTTTTGACGTGGTGCTTCTTCTCCGATTCGAAAACGACATACGTTAATTATGCTTACAACACCAATTTCTATGGCAGCGCATTAAAAAGGTTTTGTAGAAAAAAGAATGTGCTTGACAGAGTAGTCATTCAAATCCAATATAAAGCGGTGAAAAAAATCTTCTGATCATCGAGATCAGGACGGCTTTCTCTATCATAGCAGTGCACATGCTGCATTGGTCGAAGTCCAGATTCCGACATTTTCAGAAGAAAATAACATGATATCAGTATCAACATTTGGTGTTGCAAGTGGATGCGAAAACTGTCTGTAACATGTATAGCTCAGTGGCGCACTGCACTACAAGTGCATTCCTCACCTCCCTCCACCTTCTCTCTCCCCCCTCCCCCTCCCTCTCCCCAAAGGGCCTCCAATCCGTCCGGGGTGGCCATATTGATACCAGACCTGTTTGAGAGAATAGCAGCATTGATTGGATACATCGGTATGCCACCGCTAGTCATTGTAAAGGTTAGATATGCATTCAATCACCTCTACCGATGCTTAATGAATATGAACGCACGGCGCATCGCCCAGGGACTGATCAGCGCCGAGAGCTTTTTGTTTTCCTTTGGCGCAGCTCTACTTACCGGTCATAGATGACACCATCGACATGAAGTCCTCTGAAGTATTCAACGTTCTTCTTGATGTTGAGATCGTCACCCCACACAAATTTGACGAGATTGAATTTTTCAGCGCGGTAAAGAGGTGCTGCATTCTAAACGATTTTTTGTTTTCTTTTCTATTTCAAAAATTTTTAGAAGCATATTTCTTCACCTGAAGCAGTTCTTCGCTATGAAAATTAACTCCTAGTAGTCCATTACCCGCTGCGAAATTGACGGTTATTTCTGAGCAGTCCGACCGGATATCCTTGAACATTTGCGTCTGTCTCGTTGATTTTAAATAATATTTCTAAAGGACTGTGCAGTACTACGCAGTAGACTGTCGCGCCTGAGCTAACGGTTGTATGAATAGGATTGATTAGTGCTCTGAATTTACTATTAGGGTTTAAACTATGGTAAACGATGCCGTTCTTTTCAATGGGGTTGATAAATTGATACCAGACTGGTCTGTAAGGATGGAAACATTTACTTGGTAGATAGGTAGACTTCCACAAGTCATTCTCATGTAGAGTTAGGTATGCATGCTGTCACCTGTGAGATACTGAACACATAGGGCGTGGAACTGGTTCTGCGCAAGCTCCCGATAATTCTTCGGTGACTAGAATACCCAGAGTAGACGAGACTTTGCTCTGTATGGTTAAAAAGCTCTAATCGTGTTTTCGGAAATATTGCAACAGATTTTGTTCTTAATCTTTATATTTTAGTCGGGTGGTAGTGATCGAGGCGTTGACGACAACCACATCAATATATCTCCATTTCTTCGTAGTAATAGTTTCCGAATCCCCAGGGAGAACCTTTACGAAGGAGTCGTTCCCACTGCTCTCCTGATTTGGTGATAACTCGTTGCAGCTGTCTTATATGGTTGAAGATATCAAGTGTACTGGTTTGAAAATTGAAGATCGTATTTGCGGTTGTTAACTCCATAAACTGAGTGTTTTTAACACATTATGAACGATGTCGGCCATGTATCTTCAATATATGTCGGGGACATTTGGTTGCTTTGACTCATATATGACCCATTTCGCCTGCGGTTGTTTGGACATATGAATTTTTTGTTGTTTTTATATCCACTCAATAGCTTACTCGTTACACATGCTGCTTCATTTGTCAAAATCAACACCAGGATCCACCACCGTCTTGATATCAAACTAGTCGCATGGTGGCAAATCTCCCTCTTATCCATAGGAGCGGCAGTGCTTGGGGTGGTGGCAACCTGGGGCAGACTCCTTCGAGGCTAACCGCGAGACTCTAGAGAAACACCATGGTTAAACCAGCAAAACTGCGAAAAATGGGCGTTGTGCTGGAGTCCGTACAACCAGTGAGGACTGGCCGCCCAAGTATCCAAATATCATGTGTCGACCGCCAAAAACCGTTTTCTGCGCTTCACAAAGTTTCAAAAAGATTGTAATTCGTATTCTTGTTGAGCAAGCGCGAGGTGTTATTTTATTCTTTATTCACAAACAAGCTGACGTTTCGGCGGATTTCGCCTTCCTCAGAGCCTGGGAAGGTGAAGTTAACAGCAATCTATTCGTCCAGACACCTCTATAACCAGACTAAGAAAACACTAAACCAAGATTTCAATCATGTTGAACACAGCTTTGCACACTCACCGCTTTTTATGAGGCTTCCACTGAGTATGTCGCGTGAAAACCAACCGCACAGAATTCACATGGCAGCTTAATGTGCCCCTCTAATCAGAATAACAGGGTTATATACTGCCCATTATCACGCGTAATAATGAGGCATTCTTCTATGCGGTTCATTTTCAGATTTCTGGAATTAATACGCAACGCCTCGAGAGTTTTGCGCGCTTGTGTTCTCGATTCTTGTGCGAGGATCGTGACACGTACTTCAAATTCCTCCCCGTTATGTCTCTGGATGCTATTCGTGCTTAGTGGGATATTTGGTTTACGTTTACCGACTAGGTGTTCTTTTATGCTGACACGGAGTGGTCTACCCGTTTCGCCAATGTATTTGTCTCCACACGCTTCAAAAAGATTGTTTTTCGAACGGCTTTGTTCGTGCAGCTATAGACAGTTTCCATGAAGAGGAGGAAGCTTGGGTCTACACTGGAGGAGCTATCGGTACAATGCTGCGAGTCCAACGGCGATTAGTTGGCATTTGTTCCGTAGAAATAAGCCAAATCCTTTATTATAAGTAGTGTACTTGGTATCATTGGACCTTGGCCTGTATTAGCCAGATACGACTCACATCGCAATTTGTTAACGATGTTTCTCTAACGTCTACTTACACAAATTAAGCTTTCTAAGCCTTCACGCTTAATATATTCTAGTTTACTTGCGATACCTTAATGCTGTGTATTCTGCACCTCATTCTTACGCAGCATTACGCATGAAGTTCTATGCCTAATGTATTCGAACTTTCCTTTTTTCTGTTTTGTTACTACTTAATACTAATATTATTTATTATGATGTAAATACTTTGCTATTTCATATACTGTTTACATTTACCATTCCCTTCATATTATGACTTATGTGGAAGAATCCTTTTAGGAGAATAGTTCGCAAGGAAGCGAATATTTTGGTCCAGCCCCACCTTCCCCATCTCTAAATGTTTCGGATGATGGTAATAGTGATTCGAGAAGTGATGTTGGCCCTTTGCCTTTATCTACTGAAGGAGACTCACTTTGTCAAGTGAAGGCAACACGTGAGAGAATGCTGATAGAGAGTAAAGAAGCTAAGGTTCAATACTACTTTCGTTTTTTTGCTTGGATCTTGCTAATATTGTTGATCTCTTGCAGAACAAGCAAAAACGTGAGGAATGGATGCTTAAAGTGCCGAGGAAATTGACCTACAGTGGAACGGAATCGCGTAGGTTTAGGCGCGGGCGCGACATTGCGGCAGAATTCGATAAATCCTGGGAGGAAGGTCCTCAAGCGAAATGTCATACGGAGGTACGTGGAATCCTAAACGCATTACTTCCCATGGGATGTTTTGAGATTTGGTACATCTCTGTTCCTTAAGTTGACGCGTATTGAAGCCGCGTTCCAGGTGTTTACACTTGGTTTTATAAATTTCATACTACTCGTTTCGCTACCTTCCACTCCTTTTATTAGTATCCAGTAGTTCTATAGAAAAAAATTTTTCATTGTTTTGATATATTCGAATTTCAAGGAGAGTATTGGTGCGGCTAAGTCTATTGTTAACAGCACACGTGATGACGAGCAGCATGAAATCTTGGAAAAATTTAATGTAGGGAAGATAGATTCTGATATTATGTGTGACAAAATTTTACGCTTTGCTTGGAAACCTTGATATCATATTCTGTCATAGGTTGGACGTCAGCGATCCACGGTAGATGCTCACCAGAAAGCTAACAGAGCGAAAGTTAAGGTATAAATATTGTTTAAACACGTTTAAAAACTTTGTTGCCATTTCAGTAGCTTTCTAAGTAGCTATCATTAGTTGAGAAGCATATTTTGAAAAGTGAAATGGAACTGTTCGGCTAACCTCATCGAATATTAAGACTTCTGGTGATTCGAAGAAGAGAGTCACATTTGATCGCGACAAGGACATCGGTAAAAGCGAACAGAAAAAGGTGTCACCTAATGAGATGAAAAGTCGTTTTGGAAATCTGGATTCGCGTTTTACTACTGGATCAGGACGTTTTCTCTGAGAAAATGGGAAATAAAGCCTTTCATGATTGAATACAAATTTCACGTGTCGTTTGCGATTTTATTGAAGATCCTTAAGGAACATCATTGTTTTTCTCTCCTTATTGTCTTTGCGTTTATTCCAGATTTTTTTCAATTTTTCCTAACCCTATATTTCAATTTTTTTTCCGTTCCATCATTTTCCTTTGGGTTTAGTAGTGTGCTGGTTGTGGTACACTTGAAACGATTTAGCAGAGATGTTTATGTGCAAGTCGGTTTCTGTCGAAATGCGACATTTATTATTCTGGGCATTCAGTTTATCGATTTTCGAGGTCTCTCTCTCTCATTATCTCACTTTGATTTTCTCAATGGAATAGAACGGGAATATTGATTTGGAGTATCTAGCATCAAAATGCTGTTTTGTTGAAAGCTGTTACTAGTATAAAGCTGAGATATTTGCAAAACTCCGGACCGCAGGTGTCTGCGGTGGGGAACGAACGCGCTATTGTCCTTTCCGGGGAGTAACGCGTCCACCACCACACCATGCGGGTCCTCCGTTTCGCCTGTATCTCATCTAGTTCTATCGATCTTTTGCCATCAGCAATTACCCGTCAACGGGATTGATCTGGGGAGCAGGAAAGGTCAATAGCGCGTTCGTTCCCCACCCCAGACACCTGCTGTCCGGAGTTTTGCAAATATCTCAGCAGTATAGAAGTTATATTTCGCAACATACCCTGCCGTTAAAAAGAATAGGCAGTAAGTAAAAAAGGTTAGGGCTGTTACTAGTCTCAAAAAATTGGCATTACTGGTGCAGTGCTTTATTAGAGTCTTTTGGATATCTGGTGTTCTTTAGCTACGTTTCTAGCATTGAAGAAAAAAGCACTTTCGAAACATTTCCTCAGCGCGCTTTGTTCCGTCAATTTCTAGGATTTTCCGGGGTTCTCGATTGATTTACGAGGACGCTGACTTGTAATAAGAAGCCCTCAAGTTAGAGAACTATAAAATTTGACTGATTGCTTACTACGAATACGGGACGATAGCAACACGTGCGTTGTTTTGCTGTTACGGAGCTAAATTTGATCAGGCTGGTCTTGTTATGCAGACTATCCGTTGGAATTCTTGCTAAGTGAATTAGTTACGCTTCATCCAAAATATTATATCAGGTTTGAAAAAAATTGGACGGTTGTCAGGAAAACTATACCATTCGTTTCCAGGAACATGATGAGCTGCGTTCATGCACGACTTCCCTTCCAAGAAGAAAATTGAAGGGGCACTGTACAAAAATTATGCATGTTGCTTTGATAGGCAAAAGTCTCTTCTTTAAACTTCTAAATTTCTGAACTCCTGAAGTACTCTAGTGATCGAGAGATCGTCGTTAGATATCGAAGAAAGCCCAGCGTCGTGAAAGGCTAGATTTTGCCGTTTCATCACTGAGATTTATTTTGAACTACACTGCAATGCCTTTGTTATGTACACAGTTTACAATAATTCTGCGTTGTGTTATGAACACATGTCGGAGCGATCATCTCATTTTCGCAAAGTGTCCCGTATGAAGAATTAGTTGCAGTACTGAAATGTTGCATGATACTCTGTGTGGCGGTATGTTCTGGTGTTGGTGAGCGACTCTGAAATCTCTGAATGTGTCCCCATTTACAAACCTTTTTATTCATACGTCGAAAACGAGTAACGTACGCATTCTGGAGTTCCAATAGGTAAAGCGGTCCGCGCATTGTTCTCGACAACGAATGTGTTTTGACGTGGTGCTTCTTCTCCGATTCGAAAACGACATACGTTAATTATGCTTACAACACCAATTTCTATGGCAGCGCATTAAAAAGGTTTTGTAGAAAAAAGAATGTGCTTGACAGAGTAGTCATTCAAATCCAATATAACGCGGTGAAAAAAATCTTCTGATCATCGAGATCAGGATGGCTTTCTCTATCATAACATTACACATGCTGCATTGGTCGAAGTCCAGATTCTGACATTTTCAGAAGAAAATAACATGATATCAGTATCAACCACAAGGATGTCGAGATATTTGGAAAACTCCGACCTGCAAGTGTCTGCAGTGAGGAACAAATGAATTACTACCATCTTCGGGGGCTAACGTGTTCACCAATACACCATTCAGGTCCTTCATTTCGGCTTTTTCTCAACTAATTCTATCGATCAGTGTCAACAACAATCACCCGTTAGCGAGGTTGATCTGGGGAGCCCAAATCGGCAATAAATGAACCCAGTTAGGCTGAAGCTGTAGTTGAAATCACAGTGTTCGAAACGAAGGACTCGCATGGTGTGGTGGTGAACGCGTTAACCCCCGAAAAGGCTAGTAATGCGTTCGTTCCCCACCACAGACACCTGCGGTCCAGAGTTTTGCAAATATCTCAGCGTTCTTGTGGCTGTATTTCGCAAAATGCCCTGCCGTGAAAAATTGTAGTAGGCAGCAAATAAAAAATAAAACATAGATGATGTTGAGATATTTTCAAAACTCCGGACCGCAGGCATCTGCGGTGGGGAACGAACGCGCTATTGTCCTTTACGGCGAGTAACGTGGTCACCACCAAACCGTGCGGGTCCTTCGTTTCGCCTGTCTCCCAGCTAGTTCTATCGATCACTTTCATCAGAAGTCAGCCGTCATCGGGATTGATCCGGGGAGTTCAAATCGGCATTGAACCCGGTTAAGCTGAGGCTATAGCTGAAATTCACACTGTGGTTGTTTCACAAATAATAACCTGCCTTAAAAACTAGTGAAAGGCAGTAAATAGAAAGTCAACATTGCGAATTTAAACTATAGCCTCGGCTTAACTGGGTTCAATGCCGACCTGGGCTCCTCAGATCAATCCCGATGACGGCTGACTGCTGATGAAAGTGATCGATAGGACTAGCTGAGAGACAGGCGAAACGAAGGGCCCGCACGGTGTGGTGGTGAGCGCGTTACAACCCCGGAAAGGACAATAGCGCGTTCATTCCCCACCGCAGACACCTGCGGTCCGGAGTTTTGCAGATATCTCGGCATGGCTGTGGTCGTTCACAAATAATACCCTGCCTTAAAAACTAGTGAAAGGCAGTAAAAAGAAAGTCAACATTGCAAAACGTAAGCATCAACATCTAGCGTTGCAAACTGGCGTGAAAACTGTCTGTGGCAAGTTTAGCCCCATGTTTATACGCGCCCTGCAATAGAATTGGATTCTATGCCGACTCACGGGCTCTCTAAGCCTTCCATCGGTTTGGAGTGACCAAGAGAATAGCAACACTGACTGGTTGCATCGGTATGCCACCGCTAGTCGTTGTAAAGGCGAGATATGCATTCAATCATCTCTACCGATGCTTAATGAATTTGAACGCACGGCGCATCCCTCAGGGACTGATCAGCGCCGAGAGCTTTTTGTTTTCCTTTAGTGCAGCTCTACTTACCGGTCATAGATGACACCATCGACATGAAGTCCTCTGAAGTATTCAACGTTCTTCTTGATATTGAGATCGTCACCCCACACAAATTTGACGAGATTGAATTTTTCAGCGCGATAAAGAGGTGCTGCATTCTAAACGATTTTTTGTTTTCTTTTCTATTTTAAAAATTTTTAGAAGCATATTTCTTCACCTGAAGCAGTTCTTCGCTATGAAAATTAACTCCTAGTAGTCCATTACCCGCTGCGAAATTGACGGCTATTTCTGAGCAGTCCGACCGGATATCCTTGAACATTTGCGTCTGTCTCGTTGATTTTAAATAATATTTCTAAAGGACTGTGCAGTACTACGCAGTAGACTGTCGCGCCTGAGCTAACGGTTGTATGAATAGGATTGATTAGTGCTCTGAATTTACTATTAGGACTTAAACTATGACGGTGTTTTTGTAATTGGAAGCGTGTAGCGCTGTGTTTAGATGAACACTGGAATACACTCGTGGTATTGGTTGGATCCTCAGCCTGGGGAAAACGAAGCTGTTCATTTATGGCATAGGCATGTTGATACAAAACTAGTCTGTGAGTGTGGAAACATTGACTTGTAGGAGGGCTCCCACAAGTCACTAATGTAGGATTAGGTATGCATGTTAACACCTATGAAATACTGAACACAGTAGTTAAATGAGGTGATCAACCGGTGAAGAGGGCAGCTAGCACAGTGGTAGCGATGCCGATCATGAGCGCAGTGCTGGCACGATCTTGCTCCGAGTGCAACAAGCATTTCATTGCTTCTGGTTGGGAAAATTGGTACCTAACTTGTCTGGAAAACGTTCACTCTCTGCATTCCAAATGGGAACACTCTACCTTGACTGTCTCAGGATTCCAGTGAGAATCAACTTGCCCCCATGCTACGATTTTCAAGATGAATTGAAAATCATCAAGCAGCAGCCGAAGTCATACGCTAAAGTTGGAAAGGTCTTCGTTGACGATGGATGCGAGGAAGCGAATCGAATGCAATAAATCCTGGGATCCGCACAGCAGACGTTTTAGAGGAGTCGTACAAAAATAAAATCAAAGATGTTAAATACCTGGAAAGAAACATAGCGTCTTGTTGTGCCTACCACCAAGAACATAACTGGATACACATGTTGCTTAAGTGTTATCCTAAACGAGAAAGATTTCGTTAAACATTTCTCGACTGGATATTTTTTGTCTTCCTTTTGTATCTTTTCTCCCATATTTTGCTTCAGTACTATGATCAGCAGCATGATTCGAGAAACTTATTTGCATCAGCTATAACGATTTGCCTTTAGCAAAAATTACAGGCAGGAAATAGAATGATAATCAGTGCCCATCCAAAAGAACTTTTTGTAATGCAGAACATGTCTAAAAAGTAAATCTGGTCACATATTTTGCAATGAAAACGCACAAAGTGCAAACGTCTGGATCAAAGCTCGAGAATATCACTCTCCGTTTGCCGGCGATTTCAAGCACATTCCGTAAGATAACGTCAATGAATTCGTTACGCTCTATGTATGCTGGACATTCGTGTGTTCCATCCCGAAAAATATTATATCACGTAACAGAATATGATACTGTTCATAAAATTTAACGTTTTGAAGCTATTTGAAACGCTAGTGAATTAATTTGGATGCAGTCAGAAGCCCACCTTCATTTTCATTGGGTACTTCACTTCGATATTGAATCCAACATCGCTATCAACGGAGTCAAACACCTGCTTAATATGAGGGAAAGGATTGGTGTCCGCTTGGCTGTATTCTTCTTCAGTTGGAGTTACACGCCATGTTTTAACTAACCGTTCAGCTGGATGTTCAAGGTGCAAGAGATGAAGTTGGTCGAGACTAAGATCCTGTGAGAGGAAAAAAGATAAGTGTGATGCGTAAATGTGATAACATTGCTTTACTTAATTTTTCGTACCCTCCAGTTAAAGCAAATATAACCTCGGTCCATTCGTAAAATGAGTGTGGTTATCGATAGTGTACACCCAAGCTACCATGTATTGAGGTCTACAAGAGTTGTTTACCTTGATGGCAAGTTGGTGGTGTCGATGTTTTGGCTGGAATATGCCTTTTTTTCTCCCAGTAACTTCAACAAGAACATGAAAGTCGTGGTAGATGACCGGCTGCATGTCCTGAAGCAAGTTACCTTATTACTGTAGTTGTAATCATAGCACAACTTTTTAGAGAATATGGCACTCATCTCTTGAGCAAAGTTTCCTTGAAGAAATGTCCGGCACAGTCTACTAACAGTTGCACACAGCTGTGAACATTGAGTGATGAGTAAGATGGCATTAAAAAGCATGTTAAACGTCCAGCTGTTACGTCCAAACAACATTCCTCTTGGAAGCGTAGAGAGCATATAATGAACGGCTAATATGGTTCTTCAGTAATATTGCGACCTCAGAAATGATGCCAGAGACAAGGAGATGAATTGGTTCCTTTCCAGTCCTTACATGGAAACGCGATCCGTGGAGCGCGGAAAATATAGCAAGATCAAGCACTTGTCGCATACGATGGGAGCTTATGTGAGGGAGCTCGACATTTATACCTGTCGGGAATCCGACTCAGAAATTAAGCCACATCAGAAAAACTGTCATTTTGGTAGAAACCTACATGCAGAGTAGCAGGTATTACTCAGAACCACAAGTGTTGACACTGTAGATGATGACGATTTGAGGACATCTTAGTACGGCTTTTTCAAGATTCAGAGTAGAAAGTCGCTCTACAAGTTCTCCCATTCCCTGTGGCATAGAGGATTTGTAGAGTGGAAGAACTCTGTAGCCAAACATTCAAATACTCGTTTCTACACCCACCTTTGTAAGTTGAACGTCGAATTCAACGAAGTCAGCTCCGTTTTTGGCGGCTTGGCATAGCGAGTGCACAGTGTTTTCTCGAGCGGCGGCCATTCTATTTACAATCGACTTTAATTTTTTCACATTTCCTTCTACATCAATCATTAATCTTCTAAAATATCATAGCACGAAAATAGTCATTAAGGTTTAAAAAGGTCTTATGAAGGTGAATGACATTATTCCAGTCGGGTACGAAAACGTTTCTGAAAACAACGTGACTAAAGCACTGGACTTTTTTGAAGGATTAATTAGATGCTCCGAATTCTTAATGTAAATAGGGAGGTTATGCAGGACAGAATGCTAATGGAATCAGGCAGAGGTTGAGATTGTGATACTTTAGTTGATAAGAATCCTACTGTTATTTATCAATGCAGCGATTCATTCTTGCCCTGACATGCTGTCTTGTAACTTTCGGAATTATTGTCTACTCCATAAACGTCTTAATTGTCTTGAGGGACCTGATTTTAACAAACTGCGTTGCACAGAAGGTACTTCAGATGGTTGAAAGAGATGCAATTGATTTCTAAATGACCAGAGCCTTTGATTACAATGAAAATGGGGATTTATCGTGCTAATGGAAGACCGCTTCATCAGGAAATCAGGAAAACCATTTTTGCACAGAATGTATTACATAAAAAACTACTATCATGAGCTACAGTAATAGCTTGTTGCCAAATTGTATAGAAGAGTTTTGTTCCAATAACATCTACAACTTTGGTGGCAATATTAGAATAAAAATTTTAATTAGATTTTCAATGCACTTTGTGTACGAACTGCCCATTCCTCGATGCCCGACCTCAATAGTGTTGCGCTTCTTCCAATATCGGCCCCAGGACACTGCGATGTTATCACGAATTGATCGATTCATCGGTAGAGCTTTGACGAGCATATAATCAACTAAAGATAACATTTGTTCATCAACAAAAATAAAAGAATACGAATTATAACAGGGGAAAAAATCCTACTATCAATTTGTCCGATAGGAATATTCCTTAACGATATGATTGGAAACGTGGCTTTTCCGTAGAGATCAGGTAAAGCAGCTGGTAAAGCGTATGCTAACCCAATACGATCGATATCAGTGAAGAGTTCAATTCGAAACGCCTTAAATTTTAGGATTTGCAAAGGGAAATAAATTGATAGCACAGGCAGAAGTCACTGAAACGCGTAATGGTCTTCCTCTAAGAACCTGCTCTTCTAGAGTAGCTATGTACTGATTAATTAATTTAATTCATTAACTACTAGCTAATTACTATCTAATCTAATACTATCACTATTACTATCTAATCGTCGTAGTCACCTAGAAAGGCCAACTATTCAAGGTGGTCACCGTGATGAACTAGGAGGTTTAGTTAGCATCTACGTTACAATTTTCAACTGCCGAAATGACATACCAAATGTTCTAGTGATACCGTACGGGTCTTAAATATCAAATGGTCGACGTGATTTCGGAACACCGATCCATTGATATATTGCTGACCGAAAATCGGATCTTCTCTACTCATAACCTGAAGCATACTGGTACAAATAATTCGTCCATAGTAACGACGACTGAAGCGTGAATTCTGCACAAGGGACATAAAATAGTTTTGCAACAGTTGCCGAGAAACGCTTTAGGCGTCTATGGATGGAAAAGAGGTCCCTTATTGCATTAGTAGGAGAGACTGAACCGTTAAGCTTTATTCAATCACTCACCGACAACAACGTGTTAGAGAAACTGGGCACATCCGGAAGCACAGGATCGCTGTCTGGAGGACAACCATCGTCTATGCTCTCGTGCTAAAGCGGATCAGCCGATGAGATATTATACTCGTATAACGGAAAATTACAACACCACTAGCACGACATAAGCACATGCATTGACGGATGGTGTTTGTCGAAGAAAGCTAGTAGACAAATTTCAAAATTGTCATTTTCAAACATGCAGATCTTTTTTCGGAAATAAATGCAGAGAGGTGATATGACCAAAATTTTTCTGAAAAATAAGTCTATCTCCCCCGTAAGCTCTACTCTCGCCACTACGAAAACCGGTGGAAGATTCTATTAACTACTCATCTTATGATGATTTTCTTATGGTACGTTTTTGATGTTTGTCAAGGCTCTCATTGGTGTTGAGAGTATTAGGATGTGATTTTGAGCCATGATAAAGTAGCAAAATGCTATAATCTGTTCCTTTTTTTTAAGGTCGGACGTTTTTCTCTATAGTGCAAGCACTCTGACAAGAAAGTTGAAGCCGTGACAAGCGGGACTGTCGCCAGATATCATCATTAACAAAACGATGTGTAAAGCAAATGACAGAGAGCCAAAGACAACAGGGACGAGATATGAGCAAAACTCAGAATTTTAGATGCTTCGAACCTACGAATACACTTAACAGAAGTCCACGTGCTACCTTCCACACCAACCTAGGCCCATGCTTTGCCTTTCAGTTTAATTTTTACTGTATCGGTCCTATCAGACATCACCCATCAAGGGGAATCATCTGAGGAGCATAAATCGGCATTGAACCTAGTTAAGCTGAAGCTGCAGTCGAAATCACAATGTTCCAAATTTTATTCGCTGCCTAATATTTCTTCATGGCAGGGTAGTATGTTAAGTAAACCATAAGGATGCTGAGATACGAGCAAATTAGGAACCTCAGTTGGGTTTCGAACCCACGATTACTCCCACCAGAGTTCACTTGTCACCCACCACACCACAACAACCGAGACGCTTAGGTTTCCTTTCCCTCAGCTATGGTTTCGTATTTTCTTCGTATCTCGACATCGCCACAACTGTATTTCACGTACCACCCAGCTGTGAAAAAGAGAATAGGCAGAAATTAAAAGTTAAAATAAGAAGAATACAGTGTTTTGGTAGACAGAGGATGCCCTCCACAACATGCCTTTACGTGTATGCCGATCCTCGTAAGAGAAAATCTGTAACGCGCAGAATCATTGTTCCTTGTTATTTATCTTTTATTATACTTATTTACAAGTTTACACGCTCGTAAGGTCGTACACTGAAAAGCAGAATTCCATTTTTTACCGAGGAAAAGTTTAGGGACCCATGTTTTCAGCTCAGCACGACAAATGTGGAAGTCCACACCGATAGAAAGACTCGATGTTAAAAAGTAATTGCTTAAAAAAGATCAGATTTCTTTAACTATTTTTTAAACAATGTCAGATCGTTACGCACTGGTGACAACCTTACGATGTGTATTGAGTGAATCTCAAGTATTAAATAATACCTCTTTAAATCGTACATCGAATGGAACGATTTTCACACGATGCTCTTTCCCCTTTTGAGAAGGTTTATAAAATTTCAAAGCCTGAAAAATGAATACCAAATAGTAAGTATAGTATAGCTACTGCAACAGAAAGTCCGCGATAAGTATCACAATGTTTCTTTTTGCCGTTACCTCGCCGTGAATTCTCAATAGAACTATATTTTCCTCATTGTGAGTAATCCATCCATCCGATAATAAACATTGACCAGCTGAATGTAAAGATTTTTTGCAATCATCATTCATTAGATAGTTCATCACAATAACTATTTCCGAGACTAACTCTTTGTTGACCTCAGGCATTGATCAATAAGTGAAGAATGAATACCTCAAAGTTACACTTGATCTCATATCAAAACTCATCTTCAATTTTCTATCTCACACAGATGCACTTCCCATGCGATATCAATTTTATGTAGATGGTCTGATGGACAAGAAAACAGGAGGGGAGCGATTGTTGTTTATAAAGTAATCTATTATCTAAGTGAAGCATTGGCTTTTGGAAGTTTCACTAAGGCTATGAAGTTAAATGCCCGGTAGATTGAGCATCAACATCCTCACCACTACCTCCCCCAGTCATGAAGGTCTGAACTCCACTGAAAATCCAACCGAACATTAGCCACTAAGGCACCAATACTATACTCACGATGTCATACAAATTCCAAGCTCATCAAGAATAATGTAGTAATAGGCGTAGTACCAGATTATTCTACTAACTGAGATACTGTATAGAGTTGGTGACACTCACAATAACTACCGAACACGTCGTCTGAGGTTATATTTTGACTAGATGATGGATTGATTGAACGCGGATGAAGAAACGATTCCCACCTGAATAGCGAAGTATTTTGTAAAGTTCTCACCGTTTAAGAGTAAACTCGTAACATATAAGTGGGCAATTTATTAGTTTCAGTGCCGCAAGGCAGCTCTCGGTTTGGTCTTTGGGAAGCTATCAATAAAATGCAGTAAATTACAGGAATCTCTTGGAACCTCTTTTTTTTCGAAAATTTTCAATGAATATCGAAGCGAAAAGCGAAGAATTAGGCAGAGGCAGTTCCAATTCACCTCCGCATAAAATTAAGGTGCCATCGTTTATGTGCTAACGATACTTTATCCAGACATTCATTCTTAATTAGAAGTGGATAGAAATGTCTCAATCTTCTAAATATATCTCCCTTTCAATTTCGAAGCGCTCAAAAATTTTTAAAAAAACGTAATTCGTACGAAAAAGATTTTCTAAATGATTAGTATTTCCTTACCTATGAACTATAAGCAGTTGCTCACTACCTTCTATACAGGGGTCGAGATAATAACCAACCATATAACGAAATTTTAGCTCCTTTGTTGGATCAATAATTTCAGCTGTTCCAGACCAAATATCACTAAATTTTGACACTTTAACTAACTTTTACCTTCTTTACTTCCAATGACAACTAAATTTTTCAGAAAACTACTGAATATGAAGGGCTGGAGTCAGTCATATTATGCAATCTTTGATCAAAATCAGATAACTTAGACAGCTATACTTTCCGTTTCCTTCAATCAATTCCCGAGCCAAATAGGAAAGGCGTGATGCTAACGACCACGAAAAATGAAGTTTACCGGGTAGTGGTTCGAGTTACTCGAACGAATAAAAGAATAGCGAGCGACATAAATAGCGTTACACTTTCCACGTGAGGTCTTTTATTTTCTTCCATGGTAGATAAGTTCATTTCCACATGACGTGGAGGATATTTCGAATAGTACCATCCGACGGGGTGTGTGGCGCAGGGGTTGGAGGGACTAGTGCGACACACACGCAGAATCGATCCCTGCTTGCATCACCAAGCCTTCCATCCTTCCGGGGTCGACAAATTGGTACCAGATTTGTCTGGGGGATAGTAGCACTGGCTCGATACATCGGTAGGCCACTGCGAGTCATTGTAAAGGCCAGATATGCATTCAATTACCTCCAATGATATTTTGAAGTCGAATGCGTGGCGCATCCCTAAAAGGATTGATCAACGCCGAGAGCTTTATTCTTCTACCATTAAAATGCAGATAATCGTTTAACTTTTATTTACTGCTCATTCTTTCTTCATGGCAGGGTATTATTCGAAATGCGAAATAATGATGCTGAGATGTTTGCAAAACTCAGACGCCAGGCTAGAGTCGAATCATTGACTACTCTTTCCGAGTGCTCACGTGTTTCCCACTCTACCACCCGAGGGCTTTGCTTCGCATTTTTGTCAGCCAATTTTTTTACTCTATCAGTAGTATCCGCAGTAAAGCGTCATCGGGAAAGATTAAGGGTGTACAAATCGGCATTGAATCCAGTTAAGGTGAAGCTGCAGTAGACATCACAATGCCCTAACTTAAAAGTAAAGGCCGAGAGAGAGGCAGAGCAAGTGAGTCGGTTGGTGTGGTGATAGCATGTGAGTCTCCGGTAAGGGTAATCTTGGGTTCGAAGCCCACCTGAGGTCTCCAGTTTTGCTCATATCTCGCCATGGTTAAAAACTACATAGTTTAAGAAAAGAACTTACATAGCTAATTCAATGTGATGGCTTTTCTGAAGCATGTGAGGCCTTGTAAATCCAAAAACGTGTGATTTATTCCCTTTAAAATCTTATCAAGGTCAAGTGGTTTTTTCTATGGCAATCCACATTGCGAGGCTGTATGAATCTTTTAAGTGACGACAATTTAGGATTGCGGTCACTAAAACGCATAGGAAAACGGTTTTTTTTCGTTAATTCTCAGTTCGCTTTAATTTTAAAAGCTGATTTTTCTAAAAGAAAGGCGCTACCTCCAAAAAAATTCCGAAGTTATTCTGAAGTCTGTCTAGAAGCAAATGACAAAAGGCTTTCATGTAATGTCACTTATCAGTTAAATAATGGTCAAATGTCATATCGTTGATAAGGAGAGGGTTCAGCACTTTTTTAGATCATTTAGAAGTTACGATCGTTCCAACCACAGTCTGAAACACATATTCTGACGGCATTTCTCCCTCTTTTTATGGTATAAAACAGTGATTTGTAGAAAAGCAGACTGAGGGAATGTACCAGGAAAGTTTCTATCTCATCTCGAAACGTCTCATTTAATAACTTATTGTCCATTGGCAAATTGAACTGCGAACTTTGAAGAGAATAGCAGAGACGTTGTTTATTTCTCTTTTTTCAATCTTACAGACGCTAAACTGATTAGTGTTAACACCATCTATAATCATCCTATCAATGATGTTCGTTCAGTCCTCTTCGACTGAGTTGAACTTTGCAAAAGCTTTTTGAAACCATCACTCCTGTCATTTTATACTAGCACCTCAAATGCAGCAATGTACATCATAGTCAAAAATAAAGGATAAAATGAAGGTCTCGGCGTTGATCAACCCCTGAAGGAAGTGCCATGCATTCGACTTCATTAAGCATCGTTGGGAGGTGGTTGAATGCATTTCTGGCCTTTACAATGACTCACAGTGGCCTACCGATGTATCGAGCCAGTGGTGCTATCCTCCCAAACAAGTCTGATACCAATTTGCCGGCCCCGGAAGGATGGAAGGCTTGGTGGGCCATGGGCACGAGGGTCGATTCCACGCGTGTGTCGCAGTGGCGCCTCCAGCCGTCTAGTCACAAATACAATATTCAATATGCAATTCTTATAAGATACCCATTTGTTGAGTGTCTAGTCAGCGGAAATGAATTGAGTGGGTCCCATTCACCAAGAGACGTATCTGAACCGCAAACGAACATCTTCTCCCATATTTTCAGTCTTTGTACTGTTACAATAAACTCCACTCGTGTTTTTTCCAACATCTAAAAACACCTAGAAATGAGAATTTGCATGAAAAATGGCTTTAAAGAGGATGTTTGCGACCTTATAAGAAAAGGAAAAGAAAGAAAAGAAACACATCAAAAAACATAAATTAACTCTTAACAATGAATGAAAGGAAAATAAGAACAAAAAAGTCGGTAGGACATGGTAGTACACGAAGAACGGAGAAAAACTCAGAAAATGGAAACAGAATCAAATATCGAGATATGCAAGGTGATATGAGAAATCATATTTCTGGATTTACGTCCCGAATATTCAAAAAAGACGATGAAAAAATCAGAAAAGTGGTTTTGAACGCTCATTAGTTTTACACATGCAATATATTACGAAGTATGAGTGCTAAGCAGTGGTCGGCGATACTCTGGCAATACAGAAGATGATCGTTGGTTCGCTCTTGCACCCGTGTCAACCAAACTCTCCATTACTCTGGGCTTAGAAAATTGACACCGGACATGTGAGAGAGAAGAAAAACACTGATCACAAATGAAAACACAAACATCGGCCAGCCCTCATAATCACTGCAGAGCCCAAATATGCATTCAACCATTTTTACGATGCTTAACAGAGTCGAGTGTGTGACGCATTTTTAAGGGCTAGGTTGATGCTGAATACTTCCTTCTAAATGCTTTCATAGCTTGGCACAAAAGTAATTGTGCTCTCGAATTATGAGCTTTGAAACACTATAAGTATATTGAAAACAAATTTTTAAAATCAAAATAGTAACGATTACAATCTACACGCTTTTAACAACAATGTACAATCTGCTGATTCCAATGGAGTAGAATTCCCAGTTCTCAAAGAGTGGGATTCCTCGAAGGCATTTTTAGCAGCGAATTCGTTGTTGAAAGGTTTATTAGCTACCAACTATTTTAGTGCTTAAAAACGATGACGGTTGGTCAGCAAGAAGTCTGATGAGCGTGAAAGGTGAGGAAAGGTTTCGTACTCTAACCTATTCAATTTCTGCTTCTTCTCGATTATACGACGTGATTAGACGTCGTTGGGCAAGAGAATCCTTCAATATACACTGGTTTCAGACCTTCCGGTGCGTTTTTCTAACTCCGCAATAATATTTCTTTGCTTTGGTGGGTTCTCCAAGATTTGAGAAGCTATACTAAACGGTCCTCCGAAAGAATACGAAAAAGTGAGTAAGCTTCTTTTGGTGAAAATTTGGATTTAGAACACGTTTAAGAGGTTCACTTCGGCAAGACCACTGAGGTAAATCTCGTTCGTTGTCGTATAGGCCACAAAACATCGTAAGTTATAATGCAATTAAGAGGTGGTCAATCATATTCCGTGAAAGAAGCGAGGACCAGAATAACAGAGCCCTCCGATGCCATCGAAGAATTTATCGCCTCGATAATTTCATATACTGTTTTATTATAATCAATAGACTTGTGTAGTTTCTATTACTTACGCTATTACTTAGTAAATATTACTACGCTTTGTGCTAGCTGATAATACACCGACCTCTGCACGATGTGCGCAGTGATGTATGTCCGGAAGAAATACAAGTTGTTACCACCGGACATTGTCATTATATATCCACCATCAGCATCGTGTATAAAAGGGCATCACTGAGTGAGGATGCCTCATTCGAGAAGATGGCTCGCTGAGGAAGATCTGGCTCGACACGAAGGCGAAGACGCAACGTCGAGGCGAACAACAAGCATGGACCATCGACTCGGATCACCGGCTCTGAGGAAGACGAAGACGTCGAAACGTTAGCCGAAAATAAATATATTTATCAACCTCGTGTAAGCTTATCAAGAAAGAATACATAGACTTGTGTAGTGTTCGTAAAATTATGTAGATTGAATAACTGAATAAATGGTTAAAATTGAATAAAACTAAATGGCTTTAGTTCTATTAGCAATGTCGTGCTCGAGCCTAGTTGAAGTCAGTTAAAATTCACCATTTGAAAACTTTTAGAATAATTCATGATGTTCGAGGGATAGAAAGATTAAAACGTTTGTGGTTGAACAGTCCTTGACAGATGCGCCATTCATTCGACTCCATTTAAAAAGCATCGTCGAGATGATTAAATGCATATTTGGCCTACACGATGATCGCTGAGACTTATCGATATATCACGTCAGTGTTTTCATTTTTCCATATAGATCTAGCGCCAGTGTGGTGAATCCGAAGCTATGGAAGACTTCGTTTGTTCAGGTCGTGAGAGCAAGCCAACGTGATCACGTGCGTATTGCAGTGCACCTCTCATTACTGCACTATATGTGTCCTTCTTATAACATTTGACGCAAGAATCAGAATAATGAAGCACGCTTTAAACTGCTAACTGAGTTAAAAACTACTCTCATCCTCACTTGTCTTATTTGCATGGAGAATATGTTGATGAAAACAAGTATCATAAAATGTTAAAGCGAGCGCCATTCTATCAGAGGTCATGAGTGAGAATTCCTCCTGAGGTGAGGATTCGTTGACGAGTTCGAATTGTTTCTCGATAATTCGAATGTATGAGAACTCAAAGAATGACAACGCAATAGAAGAGACTTTTGCTCCACTTCTCTAAGGTCATCTGTTTAAAATTCAATTTCTTTTATGTCCACAATTTATTCGAGGAAAAAGTTCAAAAGTTTGAAATTCTTGACGTAAACATGGCATCCGCAAGATTAATGGTGCTTCGACGTCACCATTATGTTCTATTGAACGAAATTCCACTGGTTCAGTCACTTCATAATTCGAAATATGAGCGGCAACGAAAAAGGAAAACAAGAAAGAGGAAGGTATTTCTGCAAGTAGATGACTACAATTTCACCATTTCTGAATTTTACCGCCTGCATATCGCTGGGAAAGATATTTAAAAGATTTTCTAACCGCTTGTATTTCAGTCAGTTTTGTATACCATGACTTCATAAATGCTTTTAATAGTACAATGCTGAGATATTTGTAAAACACCGGACTGCAGGTGTGTGTGGTGGGGAACGAACGCGCTATTGTCCTTTCCGAGGAGTAACGCATTCACTACCACACCATGCGGGTCCTCTACCTCGCCTACTTTTAATACTTTTGTATTTGGAGGATCACCTTTCGACGAGAATACTTGGTGGGCCAATACTGATATGCGATTTTATTAGGTCTAGTTCCAAAATAACCTTACAACGAAAATTCGAAAATCCTTTGAGTAATTCACATGTCTCAGCTTCAAGAAACAACCGCAAACGAATTCTTTTCGCTTCTGGTAATAGTAAAAATGAGGTTGATAATGCACCAAGAAAATCTAGGGTCACCGTGATTGGGGCATAGCAATACCTGAGAATGCGCTCGGTATTAGAATTGGGCCCAAGTTTTGCACCATCACAGCCCATTTTTAAAACGACCCTGCATGCAGCCTTTGTGAGCTTCAAGATCGACTCCGCTATCAGGCCAAACAAGAAACATCAGATAGAGATAAAAATCAAGAGGCGGCGACACTACCACCACCTCCTTTCCCTAAAACGTTTTTTAGACAGCAGGACCCTATCGATGGAGTTGACATAAAATTCTGCATGTTTTCGGACGGCGTTCTCAAGACGTTTAATCACCACCGCGATAGAAGGTTTATCTTTAACCTTACAACCGCACAAAAATGTGGCATGCGAGAAATTAGAGAACTAATAAACTCGAAAACAATAAGATTGTCTCAAGACCGACTTTCTGTTAACCTCGGCATTAATTGATAATTCAATGCTTTCTTCAATAAGCAGACACGAGGTTGTTAATATAGAATTTATTAGAATACAATAGCTGACGTTTCGGCGGTTTCGCCTTCTTCAGTTCCGTTTATTTGTTGTAAGTATTTAAGTTAGTTGGTGGATAGCCGCCGCACAGAGTAATACATGGGCGATAACTCAAACAAATAAACGGCTCTGAAGAAGGCGAAACCGCCGATACGTCAGCTATTGTATTCTAATAAATTCTATATTAACAACCTCGCGTCTGCTTATTGAAGAAAACATTGAATAAGATTGTCTGTTAGTGATAAGGGGGGAGAGTTCGCAGTTATTCCTCGCCAGCTGGATGTTGAGATAACAGAAGAACATCTTAGTGATGCTACACTCCATCGCCCATCCTCTGAAAAGGAATACAAAAGTCAATACCGAAAGCTAAACAGTCAATGGGTCAGTGTGGCAAAGGCTGCGGGTTTAAAATCATCGGTTATTTCGTACTTTAAAATCGATAGACCAACATGTCCCGTCCTATACCTACTTATTAAAACACATAAGTTGGTATCACCTGATGATCATGCGTCAACCAATCCGTCATCATTTAAGGTTAGACCGATCATCGGCTGTGTAGACAGGCCAACGGATAGAATAACCTGGTTTTTAAGCCTGATACTTACCCAGTTGCTTAACCACATTCCAGCTCACCTCACAAACACCCAAGTGTTCCTAGAACGTCTACGTAACACGTCTCCTAATAACGCATACGTGATGTAGTCGCTCGACGTTACCGCGCTCCACATCAACGTGTCGAATGACTCCGTAATGCAAGCCATCTTCGACCTTCTTGTTGAACAAGAAGGAAGAATAAATATGCATGGCTTGTCCACCCAGCAGCTAATGGCTCTCTTAAAGGAGTGCCTAAACTGCTCGATTTTCAAATGGTCTGGGAAATATTTCGCGCAAATAAGGGGGTTGGCAATGGGACAGCGACTGGCACCAAGCCTTGTCATTGTGTTTATGTCTAAGATAGAAGCCCCTGTTCTCGATTTTCGGCCACTACTCTACTGCAGATATGTAGATGACTGTTTTGTCGTTTTCTCTACGCAGGAGGTGGACAAATGCTTTGAATTATTGAACGAGCAGTCCGAGTACATAAAGTTAACCCGGGAGAAACTGAGAAAAAACTGGCTTCCGTTTTTAACGTTCAAAGAAACCTATCATGTAGCGGTTACTTGACAAAGTGGTACCGAAAGCCAAGTAACAAGAACATCCTCGTTCATTTCCTTTCTTGCCACCCTTCACACACAAAGAGGGCG